GACAAAAATATATGTGAAAAAAATTTTCTGTGACATTCTCTTAAGTTGTATTCTGTTATTATGATGTCTTAATTACAACACAGACAAACGCATGTGGATTTCTGTTGGGCCAAATTTCTATTGCACACCTTATAGCTTTAGAGTTTGTTGGTTGGTTAGAAGACTAAGAACCTCATCCCAAGGTCAAAGCAGATCCTGGTAACTTTTTCAGAGGTTCCATCTTTTTCCCACCTTATTAAGTGGTCACACAGAGACAGAGGACCTAGATTCTGTAGTGACATCCAGGTTACAAAGAAAACTACAAAAGCTTTATTCTAAGGAAACCACGGAATTCCTTCATGCTCTTATGCAGTGGTTACTGGAAAGACTGTCCAATGTATTTCTGTTCTGCTCATGATGCAGGAATCCCACATATTGTGGAATGCCATCTTTGAGCTTCACTGGCAGACAGTGTAGGGTGAGGGAAGAGAAGGATGCCAAGGATACTTCTTATCAGTTGCAACAAATAGCAATCTTGACATGATGACTGGATATGTGGATTAACAATAGCACCATGTACCATGCCACCACACTTGATGATAATGAAGTTGTATTTATGGTTTACTAGCTTTTCTGAACATCTTTGGAACCTCTTCCTGCAAGCAGTTTTAAATTATTGCTTCAGAACATGGAAACACTGCATTGCTGTTCATACTTTCCACTTATTGTTGGACTGCATGAATCACGGAAAAATTGCAAGTTTAAAGAACTCTACTGAAGGAGCAGACCACAGTCTTAGAGTTTTTTCAGGTATATTGTTGAAAGAGCACAAATAGTACAAAATTTTTCAAGCCATTTCTGTAATAGAAGGCTGCAGACTCATCAGCCTTACATTCTGGCTTAGACTTAAAAACATTTTTTTATTAAACATTATTTATTTTTATTTTTTTAAGTCTTTCACTTTGAGAAGCTGCTCACATACCTACGCCTTTCTTACCAGCTGCAGCCAGTGCTGAGAAGAGTGAGTACAATGTTTTCCACTTAAGAGGTAAAACATACTTTATGAAGCATAAGGCAACTGAAATATAGCTTTAACATTCAGACATGAAGTGACATACACAAAAAAGATACTCTCCAGAAAATAACTGTTGACTGTGATTCTGAAGAGAAGTTATTTTTTGTATATTATTTTTCCTGATGCTTGATTTTCACAAATTGCAAAAAATGGCTCTGGGATGGTATTTTAATTTTGGGGATATACAACTATACGTCTCTAAAGAATGTTAAGAAATCTGAACTCTGAAAATTGCTGTCTTGGAAACAGCTGTTTGCTGCCACTGGTAAATAGCTCTGTATTTTGTCTGTTCATGGTAAAAAAAAAATATATACTAGCCACTTAGTATTTATTTTTCTTTTATTTTCACATGCAGATGCTAGGTTCCATCCTCTTGATCTTACAAGGAAAAATGGCTAATATTGGGAAGTATGAATAGTAAAAGAGTTAAGAGGAAGCAATTTTTACAAAACATAAGAGTCCTTAGCCTATGTAGATCCCAGTTCATCTGCTCCTGTATCCATGCATGACATAGAATCTTTGCCCATTTAACCTTTTGCTCTATCCTGGAAATTAAAGTCGTAAGGTGATTCAAATTCTTTAACATAAAAAGAGCTCTTACATGTGAGAGAATAAGCTGAAAATGCTCACTCAGCTTATCAGACTGTCTTAATTGCATTAGTATGCAGAAAGGAAAGAATGTAAGAAAACATATTTCAGATTAGAATGTAAAAGATAACCTACTCTAATGAAACTATATAAAGCATCAAAAAAGCCCCTAGTGCTTTCCCCTTACACTAAATATAGTGTAAGAATGAATATGATGCATTACTTACGAAGAATGAAATACAGTCAGTAGATCTCTCTACAACATATTGTGAATCATAAAAGACTAAAAAGGAAAAGCGAACAGCATAAATACACTTTATGTCATAGCACTTCAACATTTATTTTCAGAGTTGTTTGTACATGTGGAGTATTTTTAAAGCAGCAACTATGCAGCTTTTTGCAAAAAGGTAAATATCTTACACTTCATATGTTACCTACAGACTTTCCACAGTAAACTCAGTTATTGCCTTTAGACATAAACCACCTCAGAAAACAAGAAAAAGAAATTTGCGGAACAGAAGGGAAATTAATTATGCCATTCAGAAACATAATATACAGCTCAAATCCTTGCCTGCTCGTGAGCATTAATGAAGAACTACATCAGACAGTCTATAAGGCGCTGATTTTTTTCTATAACATTTTCTAATGACCATAAACGATCAGGTTTCTCTTAGATCCCATTATGAAGTCAAATTTCATGGCAAATGCACTGTCTTTAAACAGTGTAGATATTCTTAAGATTTTTTTTTCCCATTAGAAATAGCATCACATCAGGAAACAAATAATATAATATTTTTCACCTCTTGATTGCAGTGCTGCTACTAATTTTTGTTTCACTGAGATGTCCATCATTACTTCAATTTTTTTAAAACAAAATATTTTTCACATGGTTTTCATCAAATGTTACTTTGAAGGAAAATCTCACCAGTAAGTTAGTAAATCTTTGTTGTCCTTATCCAAGCTAACACTTAACTCTGTTTCAATCTTCTAGATACTGTATAGTAGGTAAGGTTGGTCCACCATCTCTTTAGCAGGGGCTCACATAGCTTTTTACTGGATATAAAAATTGGGAAATTCACCTTTTACAAGAGTTTCATATCAACCTTCCTAAAGTAAACATAAATTACACTAGCATCGTTCTAGTTTGCTTTCTGTGCTTCAAGTTAAGCTTTCACTTGCATGCTGTTAGAGCTTGTACTTTGCTGCCAAAGCGAAGACCCTCCAAGATACAGTTAATGGTTGTGCAAGTCTTGGAGTTCCTCAAAAGTATATAAAGGTGAAAGATGAGTACGGCTTCATATAAAGGGTCATCTAGAAGCTTGCAGAAAACACATGACTTTAACAGTACTTACACATAGCTGGGAAAGGTACATTCACCATAAGAAAAGTTTCTAGTGATGCTCTGGATGCAGTTTGCCTGCATGCATCAGTTAGTTAATGAAGTAAGCAAATGTCTGCTCTGCTGAGCTACAGTAAAATTGAAAGTTTTTACTTTTCCTTTTTTTTTTTTTTTTTTTTTTTTTTGTCAAATGGAGACAAACTTAAAGACATACAAATAGGCTCAATTTTTAGGAAGCTCTGCTTATGTAAATTCTGTTTCCACTATCTCTGCTTGTACTCAGCCCTATAGAAATAAATATTTTTTTTTTCATGTTCTTTGAGGATAAGCTGTGTGCCTTGCCCTAGAAAACATTCTGAACATTTTCTTTATTAAATGTCCACCACATTCTGTTGAAAGTACTTAGGGCCTTTCTTAGGCTCTGATCTGCCAACAACAAAAAGCTTTTAACAAGTTAAAATTCAAGATTGGAAATGCTGTGAAGTATGCTAACTGGACAACATAATAAACAGTAAAATTCTGTCATTAAAAGCAAATAAGTCAAAATTAGAAGAGAAAAAATCTCCTCGTAGCAGATGCATATAACCTTTATAAACCACTTAGAAAACAAGTAGCTAATAGATTGCACTCTGAAATATCAAGTGATTTTACAGAGACAATTAATTTACAACATGCAAGAAAAACATGTGATTTGCCTTGAAAAGCATGCATTGGTCATCTGCTTTTCTCCTAAAACATATTCCTTTCACTCTTGCAATGCAACAGTTTCAACCCAGGGAAAATGAAACTATTTGTTACACCTTATCTATACACAAAGTATAAGAAAATCAAAGACGCTTGCAACTAGCCCAGATTCATTTTCCTCCACCCTTTTCCTGCTTTACTATACATATTATTTGCCCTTTTTCATTGTTACCTGTAAATTTGCATATTAATATAAATACACATGCAATTATTTCTCCTGTCTCATTTCAAATAATCTATCATTATTCTTAATAATAGCAAACACCTAACTGAACATGCATAACGACTTTCCCATTCCATGGTATCTAATTTAGATCTGAAGTTTAGAGGCCACATTCTTCCATTATCCTTAATTAAGTGAGAGAATCATGGCAGAAGGCCTGCACTGAAGTGTGAGGAATTACAGTTGGAAGAAACTTCTCACTGCTAACGATGTAGGCAGTTTCCCAATTTCTGGGCCTATATGCTGTTTTCAAGTAAAAGCTGTGTGTGAAACTAAGAAGGGCCTGCATATTTCAGTCTCTGCTGCACACTGTGAGAACCCACAACCTGATATGAATGGGTTTTCCAAGGAAATTCCAAATACAAAATAGAGGAGGACCATCTAGGCTTTTTTGTTCATATGTTTTTCTCCCAGATTAGCTTACGACTGAGGACCATATTACAAGTAATAGCTGAATGCAGAGAACTGCTGTTTTCTGTTTATATTGATCTTATTTTCTTTCACGTTAACATTGCTTCTCTATACATAAGGGATGCTGAGTCAAGATTCACACATTTTTTGCTCTATCAATTTATTTTACCCATCGCCAAGCACCAATGTTTGGATTTCTGTGTAAAGAAGTGAACAGGTCACCAAACAATGTCATATGTAATTAGGCAGCTACTTAACAGTTTTCATTTTGTTGCTCTAGTTTTTTTGTTTTTTTCTTATTTGTATATATGATTTACATAACAATCTGCATCTCAGTACTCTCCCTCTGTAATTAAATGTGCTTTCTATGTCCTACTTCAACTGTAGAGCTGTTTTGGTAGAACTAAGCTACAGGGTAAAAACGAGAAACAAACAGACAAAAAAACCAACAACAACAACAACAACAAAAAACAGAACAGGGAACCAAAATATGGACAATTTTTCTTCCATCCAAGAAGCATTCCACCATGCTTGAATGGCAGTGCAATGGGAGAAACTGAATATACAGTATTGAAAAATGCACTCTACTACTTAACTACCACAATAAAACATATTTATGTATCATGAAGTTTTATGCGTTAATGCAGAGACACAGTTCAAAGAACAGAATGACTTTAGCAGCCATCTCTGTGTCTGCTGCTGCTAGTAATTTGAGTTTGATTTGTTTAAAAAAATTGACTTGGTGGAGTGCAAAAAGTCTTCAGGAGGGTTTTTTTTTTTTTAATGTTACAATGGTAGCTATACTGTATTACTACTGCATTACTAATTTTCTTAACAATTCTGCTTTTAAAAAAATGCTGTAGAGGCCATTGGAAATTAGATGTCTATCTGAATGTAAACATGCTCTAGCAATGCAGACATGAGAAACTGCAGAAAAAGTCAGTAAAAATTAAATATTTTTCCTTTCGTATGCTAAAAAAATATAATAAAAAGTGAAAATGTAAAAGTACTTAGAAAATTATTTGAGTTCTAATAATGACTGTGGATGTTTGTACACCAGACATGAGGCTGTTAGGCATGATTCCATATGCTGTCCTCTCTTCAAGAAAGCACTTCTGAAACCTTGAGCCAAGTAGTGTGGGAACCACTGCACATAACAGCTGAGCAGAGAAAATGCATCTGCCTTTGGCTTCAAAGCAATGATGGTAAGGCAGTGAGTCCAGTTCTGTTTTTACTGTCTTTTTATCTCAGCTGATGTCTTTCAGAATAGTGCTGCCTTTTTGCTTCCATATACATAACTGGGTACTATCTTTCAGAATTTAATCTCATAAAAATATAACATTCCTCATCTGCGAACGAAGCTTCCAGGATAGTAATTCACTATTCCTTTTGTGTCCTTTTGTACTGCCCGCAGGAGTGGAACAGGATGCTAATCACAAGCTACATTCCTGTTTAAATAGTAAAACATAATCAATGGAAGGTGATAGTCTCTTTTCCCCTCGTTCATCCTTCACAGCGTTCTGCCAGAATAAACAGGTCATTATCTTTAGGCTTCCCTCCCTCCAGAAGGAAGGCAGTGGAGGCCCTGCTAAGCAACTTGGCACAGAAGGAACGCAGAAGCGAGTTAGCAAAAGTGACAGCTGGGGCCTCCCCATCTTGCTTTCCCCCTCAGTCAGGAACACCAACTTCTACAACTCTTAAAGATAAAAGGTGTGCCCAAAGCCTTTGTATTCAGTTTTCAAGTTCCCTCAGTGCCACATGCACAGGATTACGGTACACCTCCAGAGACAGCGACTCCACCACTTCCCTGCGCCTCACCACCCCTGAGAAGAAAGCTTCCTAATACCCAGCCTCGGGGTAGGAAGCCAAACTTCTCAGCTTCAGGAGCCTCGTTGCTGCTCCAAGCACCGCAGCTCAGGTAGGGGTCCGCGGCACCCCAGACCCGCACAGCCGAGACGCGGAGCCCCGACGCCGCTCTGTCAGCCCTTGGGCACGCGAAGGCCCGTGACGAGCGCGGTCCTCGCGCCTTGGCGGCGGAGGGGCGGGAGCTGGCGGCGTCCCTTGCGTAGAGCCGCCGGTCACGTGGGTTCGGGAGCGAGGCTGGCGGCTGAGGGGCGCAGGCGGCAGTATGGCGGCGGCGCTGGGTGGCTTGGGCCTCTTGCACGGCCGGTTCAGGCTAGCCGCCGCGGCCGCTGCCACCTCCTCCACCCTCGGCCCCCGGGCTCCGGTGCGAGGAGGCGCCGCCGCTTTTCCCTCAGCCGGGAGGAGCTATGGATCGGAGGCGAAGGAGGAGGAGGAGCTGCGAGTGCGGTACCTGGATGAAGAGCACAAAGGTAACGAACGGGGAAAGCGCCGTCCGCTCCTCTGCGCGGCCCTACCGGCCCGGCCCGCGGCGCTCGGGCCTGTGAGCTGGGGTTACCCTGCGCGCCACCGGGGGCAGGTGGGAGGCGCCGCGCGGCGTTCTGCCGGCGGCGGATCCAGATCAGCCTCTTCATGCTGGTACTGCGGGGCCGCAGTTACTTGCAGGAATGGGTCAGCAGCCCTGCTGACTTTAATCGAAATACTCTCCTGGATGTATGTCTCCTCTGCTAGCCGCTTTGCTGGCAGAAAATGAAGTTTAGGGGTCGTCTCCTACAGTTAGCATCCCGCACCTGCTGTGTGCTTGTTTGTATGGGCAGACAGGGACAGAGAAGTTCCATCTGCTTTTTCTTGTGTGCAGCACTATTCTGTGATGTGTGTGTTTCTTTAGGTGGTTAGTAGGTCTTGGAAGAATCATGTGTTGAGATGCGAGATTCAGTTTATAACTTTGAAAACATCAACTCAGTTACATTAAACTTGGCACAGTTTTGGGCATGCACCTTTGAGTAGAGCATTCATATGTATGTATATATTTGTACATGTAAACTTTCAATTTTATCTTAGGATTAGAAGATACGTTTTTTAAGAGTCAGTAAGATTAATGATGTAATCTGATCCTGAAATCCACTTCTTATTGTTCTATTCCCTAGAGTTCCTTGAATACAATACTTATTTACTCCTATTTTCTCAACCAACTGAGGAACGGAGAATTGATTCCAAACAAATGTCTTAAGTTTAAACTTATTTTAAATTGAAGTGGAGGCAAGACAGGAGCAAAGAAGGCTTGGTAAAACGTTGGAAAGTTTTTTTGCTTGTACGTTCTGTGCATTATTCTTTCTGTGATGCTAGTGCACACCATCCTCCTCTTCCCATGCGACAAGTTAATCTGTGTGAGTTTACAGCATGTAGTACCTGTGCTCCATTAGGGTGCTAGTGCCATTTAAGCTCCAGTGTTCTTTATCGCTAATCTCTTAACATACTATTTCCTTCTCCAGCAGTTTCTTCCGGGTCTTTCCAAGTGGTACCCCAGCACCATTGCCCCTTCCATATTCTTCCACTTCATACTGCATATGGGGGCAGACCCTGTCTCTCTAACTACCTGTCAAGACGTAGACATGTTTATTTGTGCTGTTTTTCTGTTCTTGTATGTACCTGCTCTTTTTGAGTTGCTTAGAGGAAGATGTGTTGTCCCCAGTGCTGCTTGGGGAAGCAGAAAAACTGACCTTGAGCTGCCTCACACAGAGGTGCAAATCCTGTAGCACCAGATGAATCTTTCAGGCAAAGTAACAAACTGCTCTGCTCCATAACACTTTCAGGTGACTCATATACCACACTTTTTGGGGAGCTGTTAAACATATACTGAAATCAGACTATATGTGAAAAGGCAAATTATTGAATTTTTTATTTGAGACAAAAGAATACAAAAGATTTAATTTGAATGTGTTTGTAGAATGCTTATGTATTCTGAACAACATGTAAATCACATTACCTTTAGTATCAGTTTCCTATGAGTACAGATAAATATGGGTGCGTTATTATTTTTTAATTAGATGCATGTCTTTTATTTGTAATTGTATTTGATTATCGCTTCAAGGTCTGAAATTTATTAAAGCTATTGACATTTTAGAACTTCTAGCCAAGTTGCGTTAGCAAACCCATTACAAATTTGGATGAATTTAGGGCTATTAGTTCGATTAGTATATGTAAGGCAACGTTTTGTCATCATCAGTTAGAATGTTAATGTACATAGAATGTGCAGATCAATTATGGTCTCATTTGAAATAGTTCTTTCAGAGCTTGAAAGATTGGTAGTTAGCTGACAAAAAAGAAAACTATACTTTCTCTTCTATTTTTAAGTAAAAATGCTTGAGCAGCTGAGATATACTAATTTAATGGAGTGCAGGAAGATACGCAGAAGTGCTTAGAGATAAAATAGTAAAGGTGTACTTAGGATTTTGAAAATTGTTTAGTTACTTTTTAAAAATAATGCTCAATACATGTCTGTGTGATTTTATGATACACGTAAGTACTTAATGAAACTACAATCAATGGAAACAATTGGAATTATTCATGGTGCACTCAGTGTGGGTTCTTGTTTCCCTTGAGAAAATGCAGTAAATGGAGACAAGCAAAAAACCAACTTCTCTATTCTTTCTTCTGTCTCTCATTTCAGATTTTTTTTTTTAGTTATTTAATTTTGGATTGATGGTGTGTTTGCATATTACAAATAAATTATTTCTGTAAGTACTTTTTGTGTAGATCGAATTAATCTTTATTGGACAAATTACTAGTATGAATGCAGTCAGGACTTACAAGTAAATGAGTTACAACTAAATATTGAGTATGAATGTTGTTTTGAAAACTACAAAGTACATAATAGAGCAGATAAAATCATTAAAGCACAGTTTCCTTTGTACTGAGATAAACTGCATGTAATACAAGATGTAATTATTTTACTTAAATTGATTCACCCTGTTTTATTTAATGTAGAAGGAAATATGATCTCTCTCAGCAGTTTTAAATAATGATAGCATCATATGAATTTTGCTGTCTGTCTTGAAATACAAGAACCTTTTAATATTAACTATTTACTCATTAAAATGCCATATTTAATTACGTTGTGAAATGAGGACGCATCTGGGAATTTACAGGTATTTTGAAGCTATCATGCATATATGTGGGTCGCTCTGAAAGTAATTCCCCTTATTTCCCTGGAAACTAGAACAGATCTAAAAAGCACAAAGCACTGTTTGATAGAGGAAATTCTTGGCTACAGAGCACTGTTTTTCAACATAGTCAATACAGTGAGGTGTGCATCGTCTCCATTGATGAATGGGAGCCTGCATGCCATGTTCCAAGCGCCTTCTTTACATTTGCCTTTAAAAGTCAGACCAGTTAATTCTTGGAGTACTCTACCCCCTGACTTGGAAGTCTGAGATGGGGAGCAGAATAAAGCCCCATAGTCAGAGACCTACAATTCCAGCTGGACTGCCACACGTCCATGGGCCCAGATGTGATCCACATGAGGGAGTTGGCGGACGTGATTACCAGGCTGCTTTCCATTATCTGTTAGCAGTCTTGGTCATCTTGAGAGGTCACACAGAGCTGGAGACTTGCTGTTGTTACTCCCATCTACAAGAAGGGTTTTGAGGAGGATGCGGGGAACTGCAGGCATGTCAGGCTGACCTTGGTGTTAGAAAACATTATGGAGCAAATCATCTTGAGTGAGATCACACAGTATGTGCATGACAGCCAGGGGATCATGCCCAGCCAGCATGGGTTCATGAGAGGCAGGTCTTGCTTGACCAATCTCATCTCCTTGTATGATCTAATGACCCTCCTGGTGGATGACGGAAAGGCTGTTGACATAGTCTATCTAGACTTCTATCATGTTTCAGCCCAGTTTGACCTAGTTCTGTGATGGGAGGAAGGGACCCACAGACCCACGCCCCAGGGGAGAAAGAGAAAAAGGTAGGGAGGTGGGCCTAGATGGGGAAAAGAGTAGCAATGAGCTAATGAGAAAGCTTAATTTACTAAATACAATAGCGGAATGTGAGATGATTCAATATAATACAATATAATTGGAATTGAAGCTAATAAATAAAATAAAATGAGAGAGAGGGAGTTTTGAAAGCAAAGTCCTTACTGTAATGCTGTAGGCAAAATGACCAGGGAGCAGAGAGCAAAGGGAGCGAGAGGCAGTCTTGTGACTCCCAGTCATTTTTGTCTTTCCCCCCAAATGGAAAACAAAGGAATATAGTCTTCTGGGATTGTAGTTCTCTTCTGAGCCAAGATATGATCCACAGAACTCTTTAACACCCAGTACACTATATGATGTTACGATGTGGAATACCGATCAAAAATCATAAAACCATGACAGACTTCAGCAAAGCCTTTGACACTGTCTTCCACAGTATTCTCCTAGAGAAGCTGACAGCCCTGGCTTGTAGAAGTACACTCTTGGCTGGGTAAAGAACTGCCTGGAGGCCAGGCCCAGAGTGTGGTGGAAAATGGAATTAAATCCAGCTGGCAACTGGTCATGAGCAGTGTTCCTGAGGAGTCAGTACTGGGGCTTATTCTGTTTAATATCTTTATTGATGACTTGGACAGTGGGATTTAGTGCACCCTCAGCAAGTTTGTAGGTGACACCAAGCTGGGAGAAAGTGTCAATCTGTCTGGGGGTAAGAAGGCCCTTCAGAGGAATCTGGGCTGAGGCCAAAGCAGTGAAGTTCAACAAGACCAAGCGCCAGGTCTGCACTTTGGTCACAACGATGCCAGGCAACGCTACAGGCCTGGGAAGGAGTTGCTTGAAGACTGTACAGATGAAACGGATCTGGGGATATTGGTGGCTGCTCAGCTGAACATGAGCCAGCAGTATTCCCAGGTGGCCAAGAAAGCTAGTGGCATTCTGGCATGTATAAGAAGTCGTGCTGTTAGTAGGAACAGGGAAATGTAGCTCTGTACTCAGCACTGGTAAGTCTGCAACTTAAATACTGTTTTAAGTTTTGGTCCCTTCACTATCAGAAAGACTTGGAGGTCCTAGAGAAGAGCAGTGGAGCTGCTGAGGGACCTGGAACACATAACATAACACCTGTTTCATAGTATGTTTGGATCTGAGAGACAGGATGTCTCAGGAGTAGAGGCAAGCAAACTGTGCACTCAGAGCAGCACAGAGAGTTATGAATTTTATTTCACACACACACACACACACACACACACACACACAGGCATCTATTTTAGATTATGTCTCCGTGGCAAGCACAAACTCCATAAGCAGGTGAGTGTTACTTTCCGACCTTTGAGAGACAAGTGAATTGCTGAGTAGGAGAAAGAGAAGGAACATGCCTGTAGAAGATTCGAGAGGAGGTGTCAGAAGGATGTCCTCTGCTTCAAGGCATACTTTTCCTCTCTCTTGGATCCACCACAGCCTCTCTCCTGCTTTTGTTCTCTCCAAGGTCTACAACGTTTTCTCTAC